ACAGCACAGGCTCACGAGGGCACCCCTCCCCTCCTTTGCAGCCTCCAGCTCTGCACGATGAAGAACCAGCGGAGAGTTCTCTGCCCACCTCTCAAGACGGCAAAACCAGATGTTCAGCTAATTCAGTGGAAAAGGAATTCATCAAATCTGTCTTTTTGCTTCATGCAGATCAACCACTCAATTCACTTATCTATTTTGGTAGAAATTCACATAGCATGATAACTGAGAAATGTGTTTTATCTGCTCTTTTATTAGGGGCTTTTAGCTCATCAGGATGGTGTTTGCGGAACCTGACAAAGTGATAAATTTTGCTTATTTTAATCCTTTCCTTTTTTCCACCAGAGGCTAATTGTTTGGTGTTCTTTGTTAAACTAACACTTTTGATGGGTTAAGAACCACTAAGGCCACTTAAACAAACAGACCGTTCGTTCAGGTAAGAACAGAAAATTAACTTGCTGCATTGGGGCTGGTGTGTTAGTTGATTGACATTGAAAATGACATGTGGATTCATTTGGAGATTTTTTTAAATACCCACCCCACTGACAAGTGTTCACATTCTTTTTTAGGTAGAAGAAATCGATTCTTTGGTATTTAATCTTCCTGAATTATGAAAGTAAGACCTCTAGAGTAATATTTTACCATCTTGCAAACGCACTGCTGACTCTCACTGATACTAATATAATACAGTAGAATATAACACAATATTGACTTCATATAATGTTTGCCATAAGTGAGCTCAATCTGTCTCTGTGTTTATCTTGCCCCATTTTGTTTCACGGGTTTAAAATCTAGATTAGACAAGCTTCATAAAAACCTTCAGGAAATATTTCATTTGTTTCTATGCTCTAGAAGTGTTATGTCATGGAACTTCTGAGTTTGCTTTAGCAATAATTTTATACTAAGAACGGAGAATAATAATTTATGTTCAGAACAGTAAGTATAGTAGCAAAGTTAGAATAGTTTGGAATGAGGCGGTACTTGCTATGGGTTGGGCTTTTCAGAAGCCAAGTCTGCTGCAGGATTTGGAGCACAGGGTGTTTGTTATGGACTAAGAAATATGAAAGGAATGTGGGGGAACTAAACTGAGTAGAATGAACGGTACTGCGGGCCATTCGCTCAAACCTTGGCCAATCTGGCCTCATTCTTCCAGCAAGGATCTCAGTTAGTTATTGTACATCCTCATTTCTTTTTCCTAAACTATTTTGCCTATTTTGAGACATTTGAAATCCCATCTAAATTTTAAAACAGGCCACTGATTTAAAAACAAACCTGCTGATAAGTTGATTTGGATTTTTTCATAGCTGTAGAGTAGCCTGAGAGAATAGACGTCAACAATATTGAGTCTTAACAATTCATCCACACGTTATCTATTTATTTAAGTCTTTGTTAATTCCAAAAGTATTTTGTAATTTTCACTATATACCTCTGACACACAGCTCGTTAAATTTATTCCTAAGGGTTTTGTATTTTTGAAGCTATTGTCATTCTTATTATTTTTAAACTGTCAATTTCTGGTTGGTTGTTGCTAGAGTACAGAAATACAGTTGATTGCTGTATATTGATCTTCTGTTGCTCCATCTGGCCAATGTCATTCATTAGTTCCAATAGCATCTTCTTCTTTGTATGTATAGATCTCTTAGGATTTTCTATTGAATTATTTTTTATTACATACATGATTGCAGTCTACTTCTTCCATTTTGTCCTAAAATGTTTTTTTCTTGTCATATTGCACTGGCTAGCACTTTCCGTACAGTGTTGAATAGAGGTGGTGAGAGTGGTATTCTTGTGTTGTTCCCCATCTTAGAAGAAATACATTCAAATTCACCATTAATATGAAGTTAGCTATAGATTTATTGTAGATGTTCTTTATTGAGTTGGGGACATTTCATTTTATTCCTAGTGTGCTAAGAGTTCTAAAATATGAATGGGGTTTAACTATTGTCAAATGCTTTTCCTACATTTATTTAGATTATCATATGGTCTTCTGTTTTTTATTGAAGTCTAGTCAGTTTATAATGTTGTGTCAATTTCTGGTGTACAGCATGGTGTTTCAGTCTTACATATGGTCCTTCTCTTTTATTCTATTAACATAGTAAATTTCTTTGATTTTCTTGTATTCCTATAATAAACTTCATTGAGTCATAATTTAATTTTTTGTATATATTGCTGGGTATTATTTCCTAATATGTTGTTAAGGATTTTGCATCCATGTTCATGAGAGGTAATGGTCTGTGATTTTCTCTTCTTGTAATACTCGTTGCATTTTGGCATGAGGTTAACGCTGGCTTCATAATGAGTTTGGAACTTTTCCATTCCCTCTCTATTTTCTTAAAGAATTTGTGTAGGATTGTATTAATTCTTTGTTACATATTTCATAGAATTTATCAGTGAGCTCACATAAGCCTGGTATTTTCCTTGGGGGAAACATTTAAGTTTTAAATTAAATTCCTTTATTTGATATAGGACTTTTGAGACTTTTCTATTTCTTCTTGCATTCATTTTGTTAATTTTGCCCTTCATGGAATTTGTCTTTTTCATGTAGGTTAGGTATTTGTTGTCATAAAATTATTCAAATATTCTCATATTGGACTTTTAATGTCTGTAGGGTCTGAAGTGATGCTCCTTCTTTCATTTCTGATATTGAGAATTTGTATCTTTTTTTCTTTTATTTACTTGATCAGTCAAACTAGAAATCATCAAAATGTTTCAATAAGCCAATCTTGGTTTTATTAATTTCCTCTATTGTTTGGCTGTTTTCTATTTCATTGAGCATCACTCCTATGTTTTTCCCCCTCTACTTCCTTCAGATTTAGATTATTCTTCTTCTAGCTTCTAGCTTGAAAGATTTTGTCATTACTTTTAAGCCTTTCTATAAGCACTTAAAGGTAAAAATTTTCCTCTGTAACTGCTTTAGCTGAATCCTAAAAATTTTGCTATGCTGCATTTTCATTTTAACTTAGTTCAAAATAAGTTACAATTTTTTCTTTGACTTATATATTCTTTAGAAGTGTTTTGTTTCATTTCAAATCTTTGAGGACTTTTCAGATACATTTCTGGTATTGATTTATAAGTTAATTCCATTGTGGTTGAAAAACAAACAAAACACTATGATTTCAATCTTCTAAAATTTATTGAGATTTATTTTATAACCAAGCATAGTGACTGTTTTGGTGAATGTTTCGTGCACATCAGAATAGCATGTGTATTCTGCAGTTTTGGACTGTAGTGTTCCATGAAGGTCAATTAGGTCAACTTGGCTAATAGTGTTTTCCAAGTCCAGTGTATTACAATAGATTTTCTATTTGCTTTATCATTTACTGAGAGAGAGAGAAATGTTAAAATTTTCAAATATAATTATGAATATGTCCATTTCTCCTTTAAGTTTGGATAGTTTTTGCTTCATCTATGTTGAAGTTCTGTTATTAGGTACATGCATATTACTATTGTATGTCATCATAATTAAGTGTGTCCTTTATCATTATCATTTATCATTATGAAATGACTCTCTTTAATTCTGGTAGTATCTCTTGTTTCAAATTCTCCATTTTCCAGCTCTTTTGTGATTAGTGTTGCATGGCAAATCTATTTCCATTTTTTCACTTCAAACTTATCTGTGTCTTTATATTTAAGGCTATTTTATTGTTGTAGGTGGCATACAAGTGCATTGTGTTTTCTCATTCAATCTGAATGATCTGTTTTTCGGGTGATGTGTTTAGATCAACACTGTCAAAAAGAACTTTCTGTGATGATGGAAATGTTCCCCATTTACACTGACCAAGACAGTGGCACTAGCCACAGGTAGCTGTTGAACACTGAGGATGTTTCTAGCTTGCCTGAGGGTTGAAATTTTTATCTTATTTTATTATAATTAATTAAATTTAAATAGCCACGTGTAGGTAGTTACTGCCATATGAAACAATGCACGTTTGGACAATTTACATTCAAGGCCCTTATTAGATATATTTGGGCTAAGCGTATTTTACTGCTATTTGTTTTCTGATTGCTAATCTGATGTGTTCCTTTTTTTCCTCTTTACCTGTCTTCTTTAAAATTAACTTTGTATTGTTTATGAAGTCATTTTATATCTACCACCATATTACCAGCTATTACTACTTTGCTTCTTTGGTTGCTCTAGTATTTAAAATATGTCTTTTTTAACATTTCACAATCTATTTTCAAGGAATATTATATCATTCAAATATAATGTAAGAACTTTACATCTAACCTTCCACCTTTTTGTTGTTGTTGTCATACATGTTAACATCTACATATATTATATACAATAACACAAATCAGTGTTACTATTTTTGCTTTAAATGGTCAATTGTTGGTGAAAGGAATTTTAAAACTAAAAAAATTGTATTTTTGCACATAATTACAGTTTCTTGTAAAATCTTGTACATCATCCCTTGTACAGATACAAGTTTCCTGCTGAAATTATTTTCCTTTGGTTTGGAGAATTTCCTTTAACATTTCTTGTGGGGAAGTTCTGCTGATGACAAAGTCTGTTTTTGTTTGGCTGATAAAGTTCTAAGATAAAGTCTATAAAATTCTAAGCTGAAAGATTTTTTCTGACTTGTGTAGATTTTCACCCCCTGCCCTGGTTTTGTTGAGATATAAGTGACATACAGGACAGCTCAAGTTGAAGGTGTACAGCATAATGATTTGACTTTCATATATTGTGAAATGGTAACCACAATAAATCTAGTTAATTTATCATCTTATATAGATAGAAAAAAGAAAAAGAAAAAAAAAAGGATTTTTTCCCCTTGTTATGAAAACTCTCAGGACTTACTCTCTTTACTTTAAAGTACACCGCAGGGCAGTGTTAACTACAGCCATCATGTTACCCGTCACATCCCTAGAACTTGTTTATCTTGTAACCGGAAGTTGGTACCTTTTTACTGCCTTCTTCCAGTTCCCCCTCCCCACCTCGCTTCCCACTTCTGATAAACACAGCTCTGATCTCTTTTTCTATGAGTTTCTTTTTTTGTTTTTGTTTTTAGACTCCACGTGTAAGTGAGATCATACAGTATTTGTCTTTTCTCTGACTTATTTCACTCAACATAATGCCCTCAGTATAGTTGCTAACAAAACGTCTTTGTTTCTTTGTCTGTAATGTACTTTTTCTCTTGAACCTCTGGCTACTTTTAAGGCTTTTCTCTTTATCACTGGTTTTCAGAAATTTTACAGTGATGTGCTTTGGTGTGGTTTTCTTTGTGTTTATTCAGAACAGGGCTTATTGGACTACTTGGATCTGTGGGTTACAGTTTTCATCAAATTTAAAATACTTCCGCCCATTTCCTCACGTATTATTTCTGATCCTTCTCTCTCTCTTTTCTGACTCTGATTATTCCATGTTAGGTGGCTTAATGTTGTCTCACAGGTCACTCGGAATCTGGTTATGATTTTTCATGCAGTTTTTTCTGTATGCTTTGTGATGGGTAGTTCTGTTGCCATGTCTTCACGTGCACTGATCTCTTGCAATGTTTAATATTCTCTTAACCCAAGCCAATGAAAATTTATATTTCAGGGCTATTTATCTGTAGAAATTCCATTTAATTCTTTTTGTATTTTTTATTTCTTTCTTCCTTAAATTCGTGTTTTCCCTTCAACCATTGAGCATATTACGTATATACATGTATATTTCAAAGCATATATACATACATGCTTTGAAATTACTTTCTTCTCATTTTACCATCTTCATAATATTGATAATCTGGTTTTGTTTTTATTGACAGAGCTCTCTCTTTATACGTGTTACAGCTTCCTGCTTTGTAATGTGTCTAGTAATTTTAAAATAGACACCCAAACGTTGTCTTTTTTTTTTTTTTTTTTTAGTTTAGGGTTTTTTGTTTCTTTGTTGTTTTTGAGACTGCTAGGCTTTGCGCTGGCAGACAGTTAAGTTATCTGTGACTCATCCGCTGGTTTTGAAGTGTGCATTTGATCTTTTTTAGCGTTTTCTTCCAGGGCTAGTTTGGCCCGCCGCTGTGGCACAGCCCTTCTGACGTCTCTGTTGAAGACCCTGTGTGTTTGACAAGGTCTCTCCTCTCTGGCTGGCGGCAAGTCAAAAGGTTTCTGGCTCTGCTGTCTGAGAAACCCCGGGGGTTTGTTCGAACTTACAGGTTCCTGTTGCCTTTTCTGCACCTGGAGGCTCTTCTTCATCCATCCGCATAGAGCTTCACTCTGTGCATGTGCAGAGTGGTGTTCATCCAGTGACTTGAGGGGACACTTAGCAGGATCCTGAGGTCTTTCTCTGCATGGTTTCCCCCTCTCCAGTACTCGGCCTTGCAAAGTCCTCAGTTCCCTCCACCCAGTGGTACAGCCTTGCTCTGGTAGGGGTTCTTCTCTCTGCATTACAGTCTGCAGTTTGCCTCCTGGAAGTAAGTCTAGGAAATTTTGCATCCATCTCGTTTGTTTCCTGTCTCTCAGGGACCACAGTCTTTCACTTCCTGGTCTCCAAAATCTGAAAACAGTTGCTTCATACAGTCTGTCCAGTTTCACTCGCTGACGGCAGGAGGACAAGTCCCAGCTTCAGTGCCCCTCTGACAGCCGGATGCTGTGTTTGGTTTTTAAGAAATAATTATAATCATCACTCACAAGCTTTGTTCCTAATTTTTAAAATGTACCTAATTTCTTATATGGTTTCTATGCCATGTAGACTATGGTCATATTCTGAGTGACATTCTAATACGAGCTCATCTGTTTTCCAGAGGACATGAAGATTGCTTCCAATTTTTTCAGAATTATTATAAACATTTGGGGCTTATCTGTCCTCCTGATGTCCCTGTACATATCATAGCTAATAATCCACCCCAACTTTTTCCAATGTGGATTCTGCGAAATAGAATCCCATTCCAAAGTCCCACTGAGTAAGTCTGTGAAATACTGCATGCTAGATCCTCTTCTTGGTGAGTCTTAATGTACACTGGCTTGTTAAAGGCTTGAGAAATTTCGCATAAAGAAATTTTATTTATCTTTTTTGTTGTTACCTTAATTTTTTTGAACATTTGATATAATTTTATTGTTATTTTCTTAACACCAAAAGCATGACTAATTTCAGTTTCAAGCAATAGCGCCTGGGTGCGTGTGTCCTGTCAGGCCTCTGGTCTGCTCTTCCACTGAGGCCTGAGCTGAGGATTTGGACTGTAGTCGACGGCCCTTGGCAATTGTTGCCCACTCCTCAAGTCCTCCAGCCCTAGCTCACACTCCAAGGGCAGGGATGCAGACTCCATAGGGGTGTCACCTGAGGCCCGGGAGTTGGTAGGTTCCTAAGGGAAGGAGATTGGAATGATATCAGAGGCCATAACGTCCCATGGAGGCTCCAAGGGCCCTGGGGATGTAGAGTTGCTAGAAAACACAATGCTTTGAGAAATTCCGAAGGCTTTGCTTCCCGCAGACCCAGGAGAGGTGCTGGTGGGGCCTGGGGTTATAAGGCTTGGAGCCCTGGGTCTCTGCCTGACCCCCTTGGAATTGTAGAGGACAGCACTCTAGGTTACAGGCTTACTCCAAAGACAGAGCTGCCTTGGGGTTTTGCATCTGCTCAAAGTGAAGATGTGGGTCTGCTCAGTAGGAACCCTGCCTCCATGGGCAGGGCCCACTCGTCCTTGCTTGTTCCAGGCCGCCTGGCCATTCAGTCACCCTCCACTTGGAAAACCGCTCTTGTCCTGCACGGGAGACGTTTGGAAGGCCGACAGACGAAGACAGAGAGGTGAACAAGGCAGCCACAGCTGTCCTGAAGAGTTGGTGAGGGCCAGAACTAAGCCGCTGCAGATGGAAAGAAAGCAAACAGTTCAAGGAGTTTTCATAGAACCTCAGCACCAGATCCAGCCCGTCTAGCTTCCATTCCCCTCTAGCGGGCCTCAGTAAATGATCTGTCATTCATCAAAAGCACTGCGCCGGGGGAGGGGGGGCAGCGGGTAGAGGATGGAGAGTGTGCTCAGCATGCACAGGTCCTGGGTTCAATCCCCAGTACCTCCAGTAAGAATAAATTAATAAGTTAATAATTAAAAGAAAAAAGCATTGTGCTGTCCTGACTCCCCGCCCTGGCTAATGCCATCCCTTCAGCCTTTGACCATCTCTTCGTCCATGAGGGCTTCCCTAAGGTTTATGCCGAGCCTGGCACTTCTGCTTCCTGGCCAACACACTTTTTTCCAAATCAGTGAATAAAACCCAAATGACTAAGTGAAAAAAGTCAGACAGAGAAAGATGACTACCGGATGACGTCACTTACCTGCAGAATGTAAAACATGCAACCAACTAGCAAATAGAAGAAAAAGGAAGCAGACTCGCAGATGCAGAGAACAAACCAGCGGTTACCAGCGGGGAGGGGGGCGGGGCAGTACAGGGCAGACGGGGCAGGAGGCACGAACTTCCGAGTGTGAGAGAGGCTCAGGGGTGCAGGTACGACACGGAGAGCATCGCCAGTATTTTGTAATAACTGTAACTGGAAAATAACCTTTCAAAATTGTATAAAAATTAAAACTTTTTAATTTAAAGATTTTTAAAATAAATGTGAAAAAAAAGAGTACATGAACTCTACCTGCAGATGAACAGTCCATCCCCTGGCAGTGAGCTGGGTGTGGCCAGGGAGTCCTACTGACAGTGCAGTGAGTGACCACTTCATGCTCTGCCCTGCGCCATCCCATGTGTGCCCCTCTTGCCAACCTCGTCAGTTTGTTCTGTCCCACAGCTCCCTGTGTCAGTCAGCCTCACACAGAGGCACTTACTAAATGTTTGTTTCATGAATATGGCGGCAAGCAAATCAACCTCCAGCCAGCAGTTCAGAAATCAACCGATAACAAGGTTTCTTACCTGGAGATGACCAGCCGGCGGACCAGTACGAGGCAGGCGGGCTGCTCTGTGACGAGCCCCTCCCCTGAGCCAGCCCTCCCGTGCCCAGGGTGCTGGGGGAGGCACGTGGGGGAGGAGACACAGTGCTGGGAGGCCGGTGGTGACCGCCAGGCTCGAGCTGTCCCGACGCCACATCACGGGCTCCGAGCCCTCTCGTTTTACTGGCTCTGTAGTAAATGTGTAAGGCACATGGTTGTAGTTTATGCAGCAGGGCTTAAAGTCATTTACCAGCCATGTCCACTCTCTTGGCCGATGAACGTTTTCCAAAGCAACGAGTAAAGTTCAGTGAGGAAATGGGCCCTTTACCTGGCCGGACGCACAGCCTCCTGTTTGCAGTGACCGTGCCTGGAGGTGCCCGGATGTCGGGGGCAGCCCGGCTGCGCAGGACACCAGCGGGGCTGATGCAGCTGCCCCCCAGGCCCAGCGCTGGCTCGGCCTGGATGGTCAGACAGGCATCTTCGCTGCCTTTTCTCCGTGAAGGTTTAAGTTGTTTGCTGGAATTGGCTGCATTAATCAAGCAGTTGTTTCTCAGAGACACAGTTTATGTTTGCTGGAGCCAGGCGGGGATCCGCAGGCGTTATTTTCCCTGCTGAAAGTAAACTCTGAGCCAGAGAGCGAAATGCCGTTGGTCTTACTTCATCGCAAAGCCCCCGAGGACAAATTCTCATCCTTTCTGGATTTAGACTTGGTTTTGTGACAAAGTCGAAGCAATGAGACTGCAGGGAATTTGGGACATGAGAAAGAAGAGAGGAGAAAACTCTGAGTCTTTAAGGCATAAGGAGCAGCCAAGGGAAAGCACCCGCCTCCGGCCCCATTCAGGGGCCAGCACCTTCGTCTGCTCGGAGGGGCAGGCTTGTCCTCTTACGTGACTCATCGCCCCGCCGAGCGCAAGGCGCTTGTGCTCAGCCAGGGGGCATGGTGACGCTGGGCGTGAGGACGGGGCGCTTTCCAACCAGGCACCCAGGACAGTGGTGGGTCCTCGTTCACATGGCTCCCAGGGACCACGTTCAGCCCCACCGTGCGGGCAGTGCATCGCAGCGCATTACCGAAGGCCGTGTCTATTTCATTTCAAGATGGTGCTCATTATTTCTCCAGAGAATTAGAAGTAATCTGTGAACCCTGATTCTAAAAGGGGAACTAGGAAAAGCATAAACAAAAAATAAGAGCATCTATAAGCAGGCAATTCAGACATAACCTCTGGCAACGTTTTGATAATTTTTCTTTTGTCTTTTTTTAGATGTTCCCTGGGACCCTGAATATTTTATGAGAACGTCATTTTTATGGGTTCGCAGTGTTCAGCATCATGGGTGTTTCGTAAACTATCCGGCCATTCTTCCGTCATTGATTATTTAGGTGGTTGCTCTTTTTCCTACTATTATAAATAAGACTGCGTTGAGCATCCTGGTGCAGAAATCTAGGCCATATTTTTTTATTTTTACAGGGCACATTTTTGGAGGCAAGGCTATGGGAATCAAAGACTACCACCTCTTTCATGGCCTTAGTCCATAAGGCTAAATACTAAACTAGGCTACACAGTGTCCTAACAGCCTGTTAATTTACCAAGAAAAATCATCAGACTTACTGTGAAGACCTCCAGACTCAAGTCATTTGGTTCATTTTCCCTCGAAGCCTTCAACCAAATTTCTTGAAATAGACATGAAGTGAAATGGAAAATTTTTCTATGGATACAGAAAAGATCCATTCTTGTTTCTTCTATTTCATGAAACGACATTTTTCAGTTTGCTGACCAGCATGGTGCTAGGATGCACTGCAAATGACAATGAGCTTCAGACTTCCAAGTACGCAGGCAGGTCTCTTCCCAGCCCAGAGGCGACATCTGGGCAGCACACAACTTCGGAAAGCCTTTCCTGGAAGACAGCCTCGGATCCGTTTCCAGCACCAGGCACACAAAGCCTAATTCAAACTGCACTGGATAAAATAATCTGCGTGGCTTGTATTATGTTAACCTGAGGTTATCGCTGACTCGGCGGGGCTGTGGTTTTCCCTTCGGTCCAGTCTTCAGATAAATCAGACCCCGCCATCAGCGATGAACTTGTTAGCTTCGATTGAATAGGTTTTCTTTTTCGGTCTTGAAATTCCTATGTCTTTATGTAACTTCCCTGCTAACTATGACAAAAATAAATAAACGCATTCCACCAGTGAGGAAAGAAAGAAAGGCAAGGCGAGAACGTGACGTCTGCACCCTCCACGAAGGCTCCTGATTCAAGGCTGGAAAGGCAAGAACCACAGTGTCCTTCAAATTCAGTGGCATGCGGCGGCCTCTCCAGCCTGTGTTTTGGAAAAAGCATTTGAATGAAAGACTTTACAAATATCGGTAAGCTAGTCACTGTGTTAGGACCATAGCCACGGTCGGCCTGCCCTGAACTGAGCCAGGAAGTCTGGGGTGACGGCGGCAGGAGCGCCGCTGCCGGCTTTCTCTTGTTGGGCCCGATACCACCCCTTGTAAACCCTGATGATCACGTGCTGTTCTGAGGCCCCTGGACAGAAAGCTTCAGCGCAGAGACTGCATTCAGGTTTCTGTCAGAGCACAGAACTCTTTCGGCGGGGGTGGTGTGAAGTAAGGCCAGGGAGTGGCCTGATTTCAAGGTATTTTTTTCCCACGCGTCCTGCCTGCCCCCGAGTTACAGTCTTGGAGAGGAAGGGGCGGGGGGGGGGCCGCCCGCTGAGCAGGCCGCACCTGAGGGGAGCACGCTGCCACTGACGGCGCTGGGAAGCGAGCCCTCCTTGTCTACTCGTCTTTCGTGCCGCTTGGAACACACAAGTGAGAAAACAGACCAAGTCCCCGGGCCTGGTGGTGCTTACGCTGTATGGGACAGCAAACAGGAAACATACACAATAAACAACATTTTTAAAATTAAAACAGATTTTGTTGGTCACCAGGTGAGACGTGTGATGGGAAAAACAGAGCAAAGGGAGGAGAATTAGCCAGCACACAGCAGGCCAGGCCGGCCTCACGGAGGGGTCATGGGACAAAGGCTGGGAAAGGACGGGGAACCTCCCCCGGTGGCTCCCTGGGAGAAGAGGCGTTTCCGCAGAGGCCCGGACACAGGCCCGGGGGTGAGAGTGGGGCCGTGGTGGGCCACGAAGTATGCTTCTTGGTCCACGAGGGGACAGGCTACGGAGTCCCTGTAAGGACTTGGGACTTGCTCTGAGAGATGGGTAGCCACCTGGAGGTTTAGAGCTGAAATGACCCACAAGGCCAGTTCCAGCATCATTCTGGGGACTCGCTGGGCCTCTGCTGGTGCCCAGCCTCTCCCTGGGAGCCTCAGATGCCTGAGCCCACCTGCTGTTGGAATTCCTGTCTGGAGCCAGAGACCCCAGACTCACTCCTGGGCCCATGTTCTGCTTGTTGGATCAGCCAGGGTGCAGGAACTCGGTGGACTGTTGAGTTTCAGAGAACTGCTGCCTTATTAAGAGAGCTTGGCAAAGGGCAGGGGGTTTTGGTGGTGGGGCTGGCAGTGGTCATTTGTCTAGAAGGCACCATGTGGTCCCTGCCTCTCTCTGAGCCTTGGTGGCCGGCTGGGGTGGGGGTAGCCAGACGTCACCAACTTCCAGGTTTAAAATTATATTCCCCGAACATGAGCTAATCTTCCCGTGAAAGGAAGAAATACATTTTACTGCACGTTGCTTTATACTTTCTTTTCAGGCACAAGGGCTTTTATCTCCAGTATGACTACAGATGAAATATCGCTCGCTTCGTATTTCAAGATAATTCCCTTCCAGCAAATGTCCCCCAGGAATCAGACGTGGAAAGTGCACAGTGTCGTAACTGCATTCTCTTCCTTTGTACAAACACGCCCCTCTGGGCTCCGTCTGATTGTCGGGTCCCAGCATGTAATGGTCACTGCTGGGCCCAAAGGTCTGGCTTTTAGTTTCCTAGATAGGCCGGCGAGGTTAACAAGTTAATAAAATGCTATTTATCAGAATCCCATTTCCTCTTCCCTGTGGCTCGGGGTCATAATTATTCTTTATGGACTCTCGGCGTTTCTTTAGATCTGATTTCCTGGAACTCCCCTCCTGTTTCCTGAGAGCCACGCCACAGAAGGAGAGCGAGGTCGGTCCCGGGGAAAGATATCTGTTACTCATTTCCACCTGGGTGTGACGAGGCTCAGGCTGAAAGGCACATGCTTAAACAGTCAAGATTTTAATTTGTTCCTGGTTCCTTCTCCTCTCGGGCAGATGGAGGGTGGAAAGCTGGTGGTCCTTAGGGAGCCCCAGCCCCGCATCCACAAGTTAGTGGGAACCAGCTTCCGATCTCAGTCCAGCTCCAGACATTGACCTGAAAAACTGGAGCAATAACATTTGAACCCCGTGCACATATGTAGGTAAACTACAGTCATTTATGCTACAGCGTCTTGAAAACAGCTTGCAAACAACAACAAAGGTACAGACCGATGCGCATGGTCTGGGTTGTCTCGCTGCTACAGTTTCCCCCTGCGACGCACCCGCCCCCCGCTCCAGGATAAGGAATCGGGGCTACGTTAGCCAGACCCGCTCTTATTAGTGAGGATTCATTTATCAGATTCCCTGACTATGAGCCTGGGAGAGCCAGCGTCTGACCCTGAGATAATTAAATAGAAGAGAACTGAGGATGTCTGTCTCCCAGCAGGACCCGAGGTGAGACTCTGCGGGCCCAGGACTGGGGACAGGTCAGGCTGCAAAACTCTTAGGACAAGCTCCCTGGGCCGTGGGGAGTGACTGTGGACGGATCCCCCAGGACCGGCCTCCTGTCTCTAAGGGAGTGGCCAGAGCCTAGCTCTCTGTCCTGGCAGGTTGCCCGCGCCTTGTGTCCATCAGCTCTGACTCTCCAGCTCTCTGTTTACTCGCCTGAATTTCCAACTTTGGCCAAGGAGGCTTTGTCTATAAACAGACAAGGCTCAGGTGTGCAGGCGTGTGCATGTGCATGTGTGGTCTTTTTTTAAAGGACTGAGAATCTTTTGAGCAAGTCAATGACTGGGGATTGCGTAGTCTTTTCCTAGGAATGGGAGATTCAATCTTGTAAGGAAATAAATCCCCCCAAATTAGGCCCTATACTCCGTGAAATATGACACAGACCACCACGAGGACGCTTTGCAATTTCATAGCGTGATGTTAAATCACACGTGGGGAAACAGTGTATGAGATGATCAGGGGATTTGAGAAACAGAAGTGTGATGAGGGGCACCGTTCCCAGAGATTAAGATGATTCGTAATTTTAGAGAAAGCAGAGGACCTAGCACTGAGCAGGGACAGACAGAATCACTGAGCTGAATTCCTAGGCCAGAAAGAGGCTGAAATACATACGGGGCTGCAGCGCTGTCGTGCAAGAAAGCCGACATGTTGAGACAGGGCGAGGGCCGGGGGGGGGTCTGCCAGGTCAGTCTCCGGGGGAAGCACGTCCCAGAGCAGCCCGGACGGCGCGATGCCACCGTGTGAACAGCACTGCGGTCGATTAAAACTCTTCTGGGAGGAAAGATGAGGAAAGGACGACGATGATTAAATCTTTGCCAGGGAGGATGGGGGTTCGGAGTCGGGTGAGAGAAGGAGATTTTACTTTACTCAGCTTGGGGAAAAGTGATTTTCATGTTTTGAGAACAAAAAGATATACCTCTTTATAGAGGTAATCCAAACAGCATGAAAAACGTATGATAGCAAAAAGATGAGATTTGGTGAACACTGGTCTAGAAATGCCACGGCAGACACATCAATCTACTGAAAGACAGATGGAGAGAAATCATTGTACAGAATTGGGTCTTAGGATAAATGTTATTTATCAAACACGTACTATATTTAATTTTAAGGAACTGCTAAATTTCAAACAAATTCTCCGTTGCTGCTTCACCATGAGAAAACAAATTGGTTTCTAAAAGACTCCTAGGAGGTTAAGGGGGAAAAATGGTAACAAGCAATTAATGGGTTAGACTCTGCATCATTTCATTTGCACGTTTCAGTTTTTCACACTTCCTGTTAATTCACTATAAAAGCTGATGGAGCAAGTGTACCTACCTGACTCCCTCCGCCCTGCTTCTCACCTGCCCACCGGATTTTAGTAGCTATATTTGTCCATTTTAAAGTGTTATAGTATCCACGGTCTGCCCCATAACAATAATTTGCAGAACTGCTTAGTCCCACCTCCGCGTTTGGACGTGTGCACTGTTTGCCGCGAGATCATGTTCCAGAGCTTTCCCATCTGGACTTGCTTATTCGGTTGTCCTGTTTGGTTAGCTGGGTTTTCCAAAAGCAGCTCATGGATGCTGTCAGCTCTTGAGTTCTTCATGTCTGAGTGTGTCCATGTGTTGCTTTTATTTCTGGAGGGCAATTTGGTTGCAGGAAAAGAATTTGGGGACACCGCACTTTTCCTTGACAGTCCTGCAGGGTCCTCCACCATGGTGGGGGAGGGTTTCTGGAGCGGCAAGAGGGAGCCAACGTGAGTCCCTCCCCTGGAATAACATCACTGTGGCCCAGGATACTTATGTGATTCCCAAATGGTTCTTTGTTATTATATTAAGTGCATTAAACACACACACATAACGCACCTCGTTCGCAGACGCCACGCGCACACCGCATTACATAGCAGCACACGGGAAAGCCTGCGCCCTGTGATTCTTCTTGTTTTCTTTGTTCTTAAAATGCAGTAACATCAGCGGGTAACGTCTGTTTATCTATCAGCATCGTTTTTTCCCCTGAAACAGTGTGTCTGTCTGATATGCAGATTCAGAAATACTTTTATTTAAGTCACCCTTAAAAATGTCCCTGAGTATTCTGTGTGTGCTAACATTCGTTCTGCGCTCTTGCT